TTCACCTGTTTCCCCCTACCTCCAAAGGACGCAGGAAGAGTGCTAAAATCAGCTCATGTCAAGCTGCTGGCCATGTTGTGAGACATTTGCAGGTATGCAAATAGTAGTGTATTTATTCCGATGACACTGTGTTGTTGTGTTGAAGCACTTGTTTTTTAAATTGTCTTGGTTAATCATTTGAATGTATGGGCACTACATTTCATGATTTTCTCATGATTCTTCTTTACATTTTGTTAAAGATGGGTGCCAGTGTTGAAACCTTCCTTGCAGGCGTGGAGCCGGAACAGCCCCTTCCTTCTAGGTGATGGTGAAAAGAGGAACAGCATCCAAAGATACTATGTCATCATTGACCAGAAGGCCATCCCTTGTAAGGTGCAGACATCCCTGGCTGCTTTTCATAAGCTTTTCAAAGAATCCCTCTACAACTTCTATACGTTCATCCAAACCACAGTTTTCAACATTGATTTGGGAAGTGTCAAGGAAAGTCCCCGAGTCAAGGAACTAAGAGCAAGATTTTTGCACGATGGTTGAAGTGAAAAATTATCCTTGGATACGAATCGTTTTCTTACAATCGAATCGTTACAGCTGTAAGGCACACCACAAAAGTTCTGTATTGCTTTGCCAGCATTTAAGACCACACCACGCTCTATATCCTGGAAAGATGTTGCGTTGCAGGCAAGAGAGACTGTTCTTAACTGTGCTTCAAAAAATTCAAGGCACAGATTTGGAAAAGAAGGTGGAAAAGTGTTTTGATCAATTAGAAAATCCTTTCTCAACCTTAAACACAAGAGGCAGACGACAGAAGTTCCTTGATGAAAAGTGGTAAAATTGTTGAGCCTGTTGAATGTGTTCTTGGGGTGCGGTTTGATGTTCGTGGAGATAAAACAACAGGAATTTATAGTCAGGTCCCTGTAACAGATACATTCTTAAGTCTATGTTCAAGAACACTGAAATATGTTAAAGTTTCTTGCAAGCCAAACATCACGAAGAAGGTATTTTTAAAGACACATGTAATGGTTCATACTTCAAGAGTAACATTTTGTTTTCCCAGAAAAGCTCTACAGATTCAACTTTATTTTGACGAGTTTGGGACGGCAAGTCCTTTGGGTTCAAAGAAAGGGATTCACAAACAACATGGCCCCCAAAATATAATTCTGTGTTGATGAATATACATTGTTGTGTCACTCTTTCATTCAAAAGACCTGAAGACTTACAGATTTGATGACATCCTTAAGCCTCTTGTTGATGATCTCAAAATACTTGAAACACAAGGTATTGAGGTGCCCTTCTCAGGCATCGCCATTGTTTGGTTCTGTCATACAAGGTTTACATGGGCTGTTTGGCTTTGTTGAGTCCCTTAGTTCTACATATTTCTGTAGATTTTGTTTGACAACTATAAGGATAAGTCACAGTCTGTCTTTACTGAAGATGATTCTGGCATGGTTTTTGGTACAAAAGAAACCCATGCAGAACATTGTGCGGCTCAACAGGAAAATCCTATGTCAGGCTCAACATTGCTTGCTCAATACATTGCAGTTTTTCCACACCTCAGACAACTATGCTGTTGATTTTATGCATGATTTACTACTGTAGAAGGTGTAGTGCAATATAAACTCAGACTTGTCTCTCAATGCCTTGTCAACCAGAAATATCTGTCGTTGCAATCGTTGTCACGGAGGATCCAAAGTTTCAACTATGGACATATTGAGTGCAATTTATTACTTTTTATTACTTAATGCAATTCGGCCGTGGTGTCTTGTGAGAAATGCTCCTCTTATTTTTTGGTGATGTATTGGAAAGCAATAACTGTTACTGGAATCTGCTCTTGATTCAGATTGTAAATATCATTTTTTTCACCCATTGTAACTAACAGCATGACACATTATTTGAAGCACCTGATTTATGATAACCACAGGCTATTTAAATCTTTGTTTTCACAGAAAAGACTGATCCCAAAGCATCATTTTATGCTACATTATCTACGCTGTATCCAAAAAAATAGGTCCACTCCTTCATGTGGGGTGTATGAGGTTTGAGGCAAAACACAATTTGTTTAAAAGATCAGCGAAACATTTCAGAAATGTCACAAAGGCGTTGGTTAAACCACATCAGAGACAGCTAGCTTACCACTGGGAGAATTTTGATTTTCAAAAGATCTGAGTTTGGTCCAGTTAAAAAAGACATTATTGATAGCTTGGATGGAGGTGATGTTTTAAGTTCTGTTTTTGATGTGTCAACCACTAATTTTGTTAAGAATACGAATATCACATTGGAATGTTTGTTTGTACTGGAACAAATACAGACATTCCAATTTTCATGATGTATACATGATGAGCAAGCATTCTTTTTGACTTGCAGAGTGGGCACTCTTTATTTTGATGATCATTTCAATGCATACAGTACCGAGGAGAGAGCAGATTAATTTTCCATTTTTCCACTTCAGGAGTTGAGCTATTACCGACCATGTGACAAACAGTTTTCAAATGAGACGTGTGATAAAATATAAATTGTGCCACAATGTGTCATATTTTCTGACATTGTTGTGGCGAAGCCTGTTTTTATGTGGTGTGTTTGTTTAAAATACAAATGTTTTTGAAAATAGTATTTTTTTTTAACTGTAAAATGTTTATATTGAGTTATAATTAACACTCACCATAGTGTCAATATAACTTGAACACTATTCAGTGTCGAAAAAGTATCCTGACAGTGTTCATTTTTGACACCACACACTAGTGTTAGGAGGCTTTTAAACCGCCCATTAAAGAAGAGGGAGCTCGTCACAACCGCATAGAGATAAAATATGGCTTCCTGGCAAAATTATCAATGTATTTGTTAGTGCAAAAGTACAGTACATCCATAGACCATGTCAAGTAATTTCCATTCAAAAGTACATACCTTTTGGGTGATAGGATGTGTCTCAGCCCGCCTCCTCTGTTGAGTGGTGTTGACAAAGGTTGTTGTCCATGAGGTGCATGTGAACAGCTGAGTCCTGTCTTGAGAACCCCCCCCCACCCCCACACTGTATTGCCTAAAAGAACTCTTCAACCTTGACCATGACCTGGATGACTGATAATCTTCATAGTCAGTCTTTAAATGTTTATGTGCATTGCTGTATACTGTGACTTTTAGCCCTAATTCATCCAATGTAAGAGATTTTAGAAGAAAAGATCAACAGTGATCACCTGACTTTTTTTATATTAAATTAATATTAATATTTCTCTCTTCTCCCTTTTCTGTGTAGTTCCAATGCACACAAAGGAAATAAACTGAATATATACCTACCAAAAACATGTGTAACGATCAATAACTCAATGGAAGAAATACTTATTTTCATGGAAAAATGTTAGGGGCCCATACACTTCCACCCAAGTCTGTAGGCCTATATCAGAATATCACTTGTAAACGAGCTTATGCAATACTGTAAACCCTGCGCTAATTTAGTAAGGTTTTAAAACAGCTGGAAAATCAATCAATCATATATTTTTTACACATATCTGTATAATAAAACTCAATTAGTTGTATTTTCGTTAAATAAATAAGACGAGAAAATAATAATTTAAACGCACACTTAATTTGTATCGGGTGTCACATGGTGTCACTAATGAGATTTTTTGCCATTAACATTGGTGTATCTAATGTGTAACTCCAATGTTCTAGAAAACTTAACAATTCCCAAAATAAATATAATAAATAAATATAAATAAATGCCTTCCTCCTCCCTTTTCCATTCATATTCTTATAACAGTAGCCCAATACTTACTAGTAATGTGACTGCACTGGAGGGGTTGTTCTTACCTGTGACATTTCTACAGTGGAATTCTTTTTGTTTAACAACACATTATGCTTCTTTACTTTATGTGTTTTTTTTTCTACTTTTAAAGTCTATGCTTCTTTACTTTATGTGTTTTTTTTCCTACTTTTAAAATCTATCAAGTGGGCCGCATTGCGCCTCTTAGCGGGCTGGTTTGTTCGACACGCCTTAAAATAAAATGCTACAGTATTAACCAGAGTTAACTATTAATGTTGGTCTGCTGGTCTGTTAAACATGATAACTTTTCGTTACGCACGATATGAAGGTGGCGGAGGGGACGATGGAGTAAAGGAGGGCCGGGTGTGTAGAGGGACCCGGATGCGAGTGACTCGAAGGAAGGGGTGGAGGGGGAGATATCTAGGATGAAGAAAAACAAACAAACTTGCATTTCCGGTACAAGTGATGGCCTAGTTTTGCACCTTTAATATAATTACATCGTAAGTAGGACTTTGGCAGATATGCGGGACTATGCCAGGGTTCATTCTACCTGAGTCAGTGACAGAGGAGTGAAAAGGACACACCAGAGGAGAGAGGACGGAGAGAGGGAGGGCTAGAGATGCTGTGAGCAGTTGCTGGGATGGAGAGAATGGGAGATGGGAGAGGAAGTGAGGTAGGAGAAGACCATATGCCGCTCTCAACATGCTACTTTTTGGCGTGTCGTTGAGACGCCAGGACACTTGAAAAGCTCGGCTTTTCGTGACGGACTGCTCACTGGTCGAGTCGCTCAGAAGGAGGAGGAGGTGGATGTGGAGGAGGACGGCGCTAACTGGAGCTAGCTCCCGTCGTTGCTGCTGTGGCTAAATGTTAAATAGGCCTAAGACACAGAGAGACACAGAAAACAGTAACTGTTATCAACATGAAAACAACCTTTAACGTTTGTTTTGGTCAGTTGCGTAACTCAAGCACCAAATGCCTTCAGTTTTGTAGAAATCCCGCGCGTTTGCATGCTGCAGGTTAACTTTTACCTTGTTGTTTATATGACATATAAACATACATAAAGACGTTAATCAAAAACGCGAACAAAACCCATTAGCAATGTTTGTATTAGGGCAAACGTTTCATCTTTAAACCACCCTGGTCCCGAGTGTCTACTGTTTAAAGCTAATGAGCTTGTTAACTTCAGTGTAGAAGCAGATAAATTGATGGAGAATGCTTATCTGTAAATATAACCCCACAAACATGAGAGTGGGACACTTTTCTAAGTTCAGCACCATTTTATATCTTGCATTATAATTGTAATTACATAAATACTGGCAGTTGCCTCCAGTCCCAGCAGTATGAGTAAGGAACTGTCTCTCAGTCAGGCATCTCAATATGTTGGGCCCTATCGACTGGAAAAGACCTTAGGCAAGGGGCAGACAGGTAAGTACCTTCAAACTCAATTTTTCTGCTACTGTTATTGTGGGCATATAGTCGGGTAGAAATTATAAATAAAAAAACAGCCAAATCTTCAATTACAATTTGGGATGTTCGATATTAACCTTTTGCCGAAATCTGATATGCTGATATTGTCCAAATACTTAATTTCCGATTCCTATATCAATATGTGTAGCCGTTTTCCCCCCAAAACAGTGGTTAGCGTCTCAAGACCCCACAAGTGATTCCAGCATATTTGCCGAAATCCGGACATTGCATTATAAGATTTTCAATATTGGACAAAAAAAGATAACAATTATCGGCCGATATTATCAAACATCCCTATTTACAATAGCTGTCAGACCATTGAAGTGCAACATATTGCCATTGAAAAAGGGAAACTCAAATGTTCCTGGTACCAGTTTCTCATTTTTTTTCTATTGCCATTGAAAAAGGGAAACTCAAATTTTTCTGGTACCAGTTTCTCATTTTACCATATTGGTGTCAATGAAACTGCGTTCATTTTTTTGTAGTACTGCCACTCACGGTCCAGTAGTGGTAAGAATTGGGATTGTGCTGGGAGGGTGGTCTTTCTATCACCATCAGCATGTTTATTGTCTTATTGGACAAATGTTGGACTTTATTGGGACAAAATTGTTTCACACAACAACATTACATATAATGTTTGCACCCTGGAAAAGTGGGAATAGGGCTACTTGTCTTTCCTAAAACCAACCTATAATCCTATAAATTAATGTTACTTGTCTTGGTACTACAAGTTACTTTGCTTGTAAAGCAAAGCTATTTTCCGATCACTGAAAATGAGAAAAAAGTTAGTCTGTTAAGACGTTCTGTATTTCTCCTCCCTTTTTCGCTCTCTGTTGAAAGTGAATGCAAACAGAATAAAGTAATGCCTATGCATGTCTATAGTCACATCTCCATGAGCAAAATTAAAGTACAACAGTCCTTGTTTTTAGGCAACACAGTGTACCACAAGCGTTTAGACCAATTCAATAAAATAAATTGCAACTCTTCAGTTTCAAGATCCCATTTGACTTTGTGGCTAGATTGAGTGACTTTAGACCCTGTTCAGGACTTAGCACCTAGAGAAAAATCCGGTGACATCACATTTAAAAAATGTTGTTAGTCTTCTTCTTCTTTTTCTTACGGCTTTGTCCCTTTTTCGGGAGTTGCCCCAGCAAATCATTGATTTCCATCTGTCCCTGTTCTCTGCATCTTCTACTCTGACTCCAATTATCTGCATGTCCTCCCTCCCTCCATCTCTAACATTCTTCTCCCAATTTATCCACTGTTCCTCCTCTGCACATGTCCAAACCATATCAATCTGGCTTCTCCAGCCCTTTTTTTTTTCAAACCTTCCTGTCTGTGTTGTCCCTCTAATGACCTCATTCCTGATCCTGTCCATTCTTGTCACTCCTAGAGAGAATCTTAGCATCTTTAACTCTGCCACCTCCAGCTCCGCCTCCCTGTCTTCTGCCGGTTGCTACCGTCTCCAAACCATACATCATGGCTGGGCTCACCACTGTCCTATAAACCTTTCCTTTCACCTTAGCTGAGACTCTTCTATCACAGATCACTCCTGACACTTTTGCCTGCACTCTATTCTCCACCTCTCTTCCACAGTCTCCACTGCTCTGAGCAGCTGCCCCTAAGACTTAAACTCCTGCTCCTTCACCACCTCTGCTCCTTGTAGCCTCACCATTTCACTGTTCTCCCTTTCGTTTACCCACACGTGCCCCGTCTTGCTGCGACTGACCTTCATTCCTCTTCTTTCTAGTGCAAACCTCACCCTCTCTAGGTTCTCTCCTAGCTGCTGCCTACTCTCACTACAGATCACCGTGTCATTTACAAACAACATAGTCCATAGGGACTCCTGTCTGACCTCATCTGTCAATCTGTCTATCACCACACAAAACAAGAAGGGGCTCAGGGCCGATCCTTGATGTAGTCCCTCCTCCACCTTGAAGTCATCTGTCCTTCCAACAGCTCACCTCACTACTGTTGTACTATTCTCATACATGTCCTGCACAAAACTAACATACTTCTCTGCCACTCCTGACTTCCTCATACAAAACCACAATTCCACTGACTTTCCACTCTTCATCTTCTTCAGAACTTTTCTAACTTCATCCTTTCTAACCTGATCTACCTTCTTCCTAATAGTCTCTGGTTCCTCGTTTCTACTTTCCCTTTCATTTTCCTCATTCAACAACTCCTCAAAATATTCCTTCCATCTTCTCAGCACACTTTCCTCACTTCCCTCTCTGTCCTTAATCAACCTCACCTTCATGTGCCGTGTGTCGAACTAACAGCAGAGGTGTCAAACTCATTTTGGTTCAGGGGCTGCATACAACCTAATTAGTTTTCAAGCGGGTCGGACCAGTCCAATCATAAAATAATTGCGTATAAATAACAAAAAATAACAAAGTCTGTCGTTTTCCTTTTTGTTTTAATGCAAAAAATACATTAGATAGATCTTCATATTTTATGAAATATAATTTTACAAAAAATTCCTAAACACGACGTGTTTCTTTATTTTCATTATTTTCATTTTATTTTCAAAATTCATCAAGTGGGCTGCATTGAAACCCCAAGCAGGCCAGTTTTGGCCCACGGGCAGTATTATCAGTATGGTTGACACCCCTGACATACAGTAATAGAAAACAATCATCAGAAAGAGTTTACAAATTTGCATTTCTTTATTACTTTCACCTAAATTTTGTGCATTATTGGAATGAGTGAAGGACTTGTCTTAACCTAAAATTAGTTTTTGTTAAATTAGGTACCAAAACATATTCAGTATTGTTTATTTTGTATTTGCAAAGCCCATTGTCTCTGGGAACATAGCAAATGGCAGAGCTGACAATAAGATTTCAACTATTGCCACACCAAATTTTCAAACTCTAAAGTGCATATCTAGCTTTGTGAAGGTTTTAAGTTTCCCATCTATGTAAATGTACAGTCGTAAAACAAATTGCCTACATATATTATACATTGTTATTAAGTAGCCCTTGCCTGATTCCTGTTTTTTTATGTCTTGCATTTTCTTTTGTCCTTCAGGACTGGTCAAGCTGGGTGTCCATTGCATCACCGGTCAAAAGGTTGCAATCAAAATAGTCAACAGAGAGAAGCTATCTGAGTCAGTTTTGACAAAGGTACTGTACATTACTGTAAGAGTAGTTTTTAAAAGTGAGGTGTATGTTGAAAGGTCCAATATGCAGTGTTTGAGCGCCACTCATTCCCTTAGCTCAGCCATGGGCAAACCTTTTGACTCACAGGCCACAATTGTCCTAAGATTGTCAGGAGCAGATGGATGGAACGTTTGTGTGAACTAAGATAAATTACATGTAAAAATCATGCATAAAGGCTAAAATGCTAAAATGCGGATAAAGACGGATAAAAAAGCTAAATGGTCCGCACTAAAGACGGATAAAAAAGCTAAATGGTCTGCACCTGGTCCCCGGGCCTCAGTTTGCCCATGTCTTCCTTAGCCTGTAGGACAAAATCCTCATAATTGGGTACATCCTCTGTATATTAAATCTAAGCGATATCATGTGTTACAGAGATATTAGCTAGAAATTAGAAATCACAGTAATTAAATAACTACCATGGTTTCTTTTTCTTCAGAATCATAGACAGATATACTAAGCACAGAAATAGGAATGAGGTTCACATGTTGGTCCTCTGTATAATGTTTCTCGTTGTGGCCCAACATAATTAAGGAATGAGGACCACATTCTTTAGAAGACGTCAGTCATACACCTTGGCCCGTTTGTTGAGTATTCCACAGGTAATTTGCCAGAAATGGGTCTTTGTCATTCAGCGTCTGTTACGGCAGGGGGCGGGAACCTTTTTGGCAGAGAGAACCAAAAAAGTCGCATATTTTAGATTGTATTTCTGTGAGAGCCATACAATATATTTTTTTGAATAAAACTAAATGTGTGAATTTTTAACAACAAGACCAATAATTATAGTATAATAAGTCTCTGATCTTTTTCTTTTTTTTAATAGCAATTGTTATACTGAATTTATCCAATACATAAAATACTTTTTAACTAATTAATGCCACTTCTGATGCTGCATGGTTTTGATATGATTGGGTCCAGTGCCAAAGAAATAATGTTTGGATTAAAATGTGACAGAGTTACACTTGCCGTACAAAACAGTTTATTACACACCACAGAAAAAAAAACTTAATTTATCTTTCTGTCATTTAATGCAACACCCCTGCGGATTAGGGTCTTGCACCCCGGGGAGCATCAATTGGACTCTGCTGCTCTCATGGTAGTTGTACGTTAGGAGGTCCATCATTTGTTTTATTATTTTAATTTAATCTATCATTATTTCATCATTGTGTTGCTCCAAAATTGATTGACTTTGTTTTCACTTTTTATGCCAGAAATAAAAAAATGATGTGCCGAGCTGATGATTTGACCGCAGTTATTTAACACAATGCAGAGAGAGAGTACGCCGCCGCCACAAATGCGCAAGAATGTTTTTTTTTTTTTTAAAGATTATTTTAGCACTATGATTTCTGTAATGTTTTATTTGAATATCAGCAGAATTATTTATTACTTATTGTGTTAAGAAATGCCAGCAAAGATTTGTCTGAGAGCCAGATGTAGTCACCAAAAGAGCCACATCTGGGCCGCGAGCCATAGGTTCCTGACCCCTGCTCTTATTTATTTTTTTATTTATACNNNTAGAAAAAAAGGTGGTTGCTGTTCTTATGTCATCTGATTAATATTAGGTTGTTTCAGTTTTTCAGTCCAGGTTTAGATAGCTATAATGATAATGAAATTTGGCAAAAAATTGTTTTTGTTATTTTATCAGAGGCAAATAACAGATCACATGGAGGATAATCCTGTGGGGACTAGTCCAGCAACTATGGATTCAATATGATCTAGTCTTGAGCTAGTCAGCAACATAGTGCAGCTGTGATGCTAGGTAATATACCATTACACTCTACTCTTTGTTGAATAGTTGTTCAATAAACAGACTGCAGCAAGCTATGCTGCGCAAAGTTAAGTTGAGTATTTAGGCGTAGGAATCATTTCAGAGAGGCTATAGTTGTTTTTTTTCTTACTTATGTTTGATCCTGAAATGTTGATGGATATTGGACAGATACAGATCCTGAGTTTTAGATCAAGCCATTCCTACATCATACCAACACTTACCTGACACAGCCTGCACATTACTGCCAGCACTGTGCTGCCTTTGCTACCGGTGCATTACATCCTCTACTGACAGCTCACCCTCACTTGTGGTGTGTGCTGACCATTGGGACCACTATATCTGGGGCCTGTAGCAAGATGCAAAGCCTCTGTGGCGACAGTGAGGTGTGGAAGCCCTGGATGTGGCAGCTGCAAATGGAGGAGTTGACGCGACACCAGTCCTGTTGCAACAGCAAGTAGTGTTGCACATGTTGGTGCGCAGGATAGCCGGATACAAACTCTGGACGAATGAATGCAGATGGCCCATCAGAGGCAGTGGAAGTGAAAGAACTAAGGATGAGTGATAGAAAACAGGCAGACTGACGGCTGCATAAGGGGAACAAATGGAATCCAACCACTAGGACGTAATAGCGAACATGTAAGACGAAGGCACGAGTAGAGGTCACTTGATGTGAAGGCAATGGGACATTGAACTTGAAAAGGAAAACTTGGATGTTGTGAAAAGCCATAACGGATTATCAGGTCACTAAATCAGCGCTCATTTTTAAAGTACTGCTATAAGAATGAAGTACCTATTTTGTGCATTGTAATGCAGCATCTAGCGTGTACATTTCCTAAAGAAACAAAGGGTGGCCCAGATGAGAAAGTTTGTGAACCATGATCTTCCCATGGAGAATATTGCATATTGGACCTTACGCTTTTTTGCATAAATTCACCTGAGCTGAATAGTCGTTGGATACTGACCTTGCCTGTCTGTGTCTAGCTGCGCTTTCCTCCTGTTTCTTCTCACAACTTTTTGTTTCTCTTTGACCAGGTTGAGAGGGAGATTGCCATTCTGAAGCTGATTGAACATCCGCATGTGTTGAAGCTGCATGATGTTTATGAGAATAACAAATATCTGTGAGTTTCATTGCCGTTGACGAACACATTGTGAAGACCTAAATATTGGGTAAATGCAGTTGGCATTCCATCTCTAAACTCTCTTGCGCAATACTGAACTTTGGAGTTGACAATATTAGAAATACTCCCAAGAGCTAAACTAACGTATTTTTATAAATATAAGGCGCTATATCAATGAACGGGTCTATTTTCATACATGAAGTTCACTGGATTATAAGGCGCATTAAGACAAACTGTCAGTGAAACAATTAAGCGAAGCAATCAAGCATGCCCGGATCCCGTCAGTCTCGTTGCTGTTAATTAGCTGTTCAGTGATGATTCCGGCCTTCGTGAAAGCTCGGACGACATTAGAGACCGATCACTTAGCCCAGGCATCCACGATCCATTAGCAGATAGTGGCGTAACTCACCCTGCGTTGCCTCCCTGTCTTGGTGAATGTGTTCGCCTTCAGTCATCCAATGCTCCCACGCAGCTCACAATTTAACCTTAAACGCCTTGGTAACATCAATATTTAAGCGGTTGAAATTCTTTGGTTAATCCACCCGGAACAAAGGGCATTTTAAGAAGGTGCGGTCCACACCTTTAGGATTATATATTCTCTCTTAATCTTCATTTTCCATTATTGTTTTCTTAATGGTGTCCTCATGCCTTCAACCTGATGGTTTGTGGTCTCTCTACGTTCTCAGGTATCTCGTACTGGAGCATGTGTCAGGAGGAGAGCTCTTCGACTACCTGGTTAAGAAGGGCAGGCTAACGCCAAAAGAGGCCAGGAAGTTTTTCAGACAGATCATATCTGCTTTGGATTTTTGTCACAGTCATTCCATCTGGTTGGTTCTGAGCAAATATATCTATTTAATGTACATAAATCACATTCTGTTGAATACAGATTTTATTTTCCTCCCGTTTTTATATCTTGAATAATAATAATGGTTACACAAGCCCTTTAAAAAGAATAAAACTTAATTTATGTTACATAGTTTTTTCTTCATTTTAAAGGCACTTTTGGAAAAAATTAGTTGTTTTCACAGTGTAATGCTTCAGTACATGCAAACCTAATGATGCCTTATTAAATAACATAAGATGAGTAATGTAAGTTGTCTTACATGTGTTTGAATGTACGTAGTTTGAAATGTTTTGAACAACAACAAAAATGACGCAGTCTACAGTGACTAACCATTCCTGTGCTTTATTTGTGTAGTCACAGAGACCTGAAGCCAGAGAACTTGCTCCTGGATGAAAAAAATAACATTCGAATTGCAGACTTCGGCATGGCCTCGCTACAGGTTGGAGACAATCTGTTGGAGACCAGCTGTGGGTCAGTACCTTAACATGACGATATAGGAACATTTAAGTCTAAGATCAGTCCATCTGATGCAACAGTTACACACTTTTGAAAGCTTTAAAGCTGGGCGCAGGGCTGTCAAACTCAATTTCACAGTGAGGCAAAATTAGAAACTGGAACAAAGACGCAGGGCACACTCTATTTATTGAAAAATTGTCTGCAATTATGCACGTTTTCCCTTTTACTCCAGAGCTGCAATGCTGATGTTGTTTTGCGTAAACATTGAATCTGGAACAAGTAAAGCATAGTATTATAAACGCGAGGAAAACATGAGAAATTCCATTTAAACTAAGACACACATCAGTCGTATTCATTTCTTAATATGTCTCTCTCTGTCGCTAGCCTTTTCAGTTCCTTTTTATTGTGAGTTTTTTTTCCACAGGCCAACACCTAACCAACCAAAAAATGTACTATAATATGTATACGATTTAATACAGCATTAATACTACAGCTCTCGCCAGAATATATATGTATATGTGTATATATATATATGGCATTCCGTTCAGGAAATTAATCTTTGAATATATATACAAAAAGTCTGAATATATATATACAAAAATCCTGAATATATATACAAAAATCCTGAATATATATATACAAAAATCCTGAATATATATACAGAGAGTCTGAATATATATACAGAGAGTCTGAATATATATACAGAGAGTCTGAATATATATACAAAAATATGAAGCGTATTTGACCACACTGTCCGTACTGGTGCGCAGCTACGCCTGCTACCACCGACCAGGCGGCACAGGAGATCCCCATAAAACAGCCCCACCATATGTCATAGTTATATTTGTAACCCAAGTATTACAAAAGAAAACAGTGAATGCTGTGTAATAGAAAATGTAATAAATACGTTAAAGAGAATAAGAACAGATTACAGCCATAAAATGGTTAACGATCTAAGCTCACTGAATCACTGGGGGATTCAGAGTAACGTAATAATAATAATTTAAGGGTGATAAAAATTGTTATAATTTGTTATAAATACTTTTTTGAAAATATATTATTTCTATGTGTTATTATTTGATAACGCTGTCCATTATGCTGAAGATGATTACGTACGTCTCTCAGAAAGGAAAAGAGCAACAGTAATGCAAAGAGTGATTTATGTTAACTTGTCATATGACGCAGTGTGCTGTGTTGTCTTTGAAATATTGATTTGTTCACAGGTTCCTTGTCGACTCGCGGAAAATGTGTTGTTCTGTACCGGATTGTTCATTCTTTCTTCCGCGTTGCGAGTGAAGCGTGGTCCGTAAAAAAAAAAAAAAAGAGCGAAAAGGGGAGAGATGAAGCAGTGAATATTCAGGATTTTTGTATATATATTCAGGGTTTTTGTATATATATATTCAGACTTTTTGTATATATATTCAGACTTTTTGTATATATATTCAGGATTTTTGTATATATATATTCAGACTTTTTGTATATACGTATATTCAGACGTTTTCTATATATATTCAAACTTTTTGACATGCCATATATATATATATATTTACTGTATACTGTATATATATATACTGTACATATATACACACAGTGTTCATGTACTTGAAATAATTTACTTATTTGATGAAAGATAATCCATATCTAAATAAAACTTTTATGAAGTGGTTAAAAAGTAGTATATATTTGTAATTCGTAGTTGTAGTTGCATACAGCACCAATACAGATTCACACACAGCAGTCTCTATAACCGCCAACCAAATCACATTGCACCGTACCAACCCCCCTAAACCTTCCTGTGTGTGGTCAGTGTGTGTTTGTGTGTATATATATATACACAGCTCTAATACACATTTGATATGATCTTGCGTGCCAAATTCAGTTACACTGGCCTGACTTTGACATCTGTGCTTTAGTGTTCATGTACTTGAAATCATTTACTTATTTGATGAAGAAAGACGATGCATGTTGTAATGAAACATGGTTAAAAAGACAAGTAGTATATGTTTCTTATTCGTAGTACTGAGTTTCTTACTAACTGTAAGCTGTCTATTGATAAAGATACCATTAACATTTTCATATCTTTTGCCATAGATCACCTCATTATGCGTGTCCGGAGGTTATACGGGTAAGATGTCTTAATAGATTCTTATTTTCATTTTGACTGGTCATGAGAAATGACTGATAAACCATTTAATTTTGAAAAAAACATGCTAGACAAAACACAACAGGGGTATGTCATAATGTTACAAATTCAGGAATAGAGAAAATAAAAATGTAAGTGCAAATTGAAGACAATTTTTTTTAAGATAAAAAAAAGATTTTTTCTTTACATTTTGTTTGGAGATGAAGATGATTTAAAAGATTTAGAAATAAGCTGTAAATGATTGTTTACAAAGTGACATAATAATTAATGCCATTGTGTGTTTTTGCATTGAACGTCGTAATTGACAGGGAGAGAAATATGATGGGCGAAGAGCAGATGTGTGGAGCTGTGGGGTCATTCTGTTCGCTCTGTTGGTGGTAATTCCTTTTTTTGTTTTTTTTTTTCAAACTTTCCACCAGTCTTTTCCTGCTAGTGTCTTTATCTAAGTCTTCTGACAGTTTTTGATTGAACTAACCAGACTCTACTTGTCTTTTCCAGGGTGCCCTGCCTTTTGATCACGATAACTTACGCCAACTCTTGGAGAAGGTGAAGAGTGGGGTTTTCCACATGCCTCATTTCATACCCCCGGAATGCCAGTCCCTGCTTATGGGCATGATTGAGGTCAATCCTGAAAAGAGATTCACGGTACATGACAATGTATATTTGCACAATTTTTGCACAAGACACCTAACATCTAGAACAGGCGTGGGCAAAGTTTTTGAACTGCCTGCTGCAATGGGTCCTAAAATTTGACAGGGGGGGGGGCTGAGTCAGGAGCACATAGATGAAGCGACAAACAACGTCATCAATTGGGAAAATGCAGACACTGCAGAAAAAAGGCAGAAGTATAATGATGAAAATCAATAACATAATTTTTATTAACATAAAGTATGGCGGGCCTGGATTCATTTTCCTGCTCTGGAATTTTAAGTAATTCTTACTGTAACATATATTTGCTGTACTCCCCACTGTTAGAACTGAAGAAGCTTCTTGGATGAGAGGTGAAATGTTGTCTTTGAGAAAATGTCACGTCCAGTTGCCTAATGGGCAGTGGTGGCTTAATGGTCCAGAAGGCTTCAGGTTCAAGTCTACTAGCTGCCAAGTTACCACTGAGGTGCTCTGAGCAAGGCACCGTCCCCACACACTGCTCCCCCGGCGCTTGAAACTGCCCAGTGTTCACTTTTGGTGATGGTGAAGAGAGGTCACATTTGTGCAGTGGTGTGCTGTCACAATGACAAGTAGTTCACTTTCACTTTCCTTTCCTCTCCTACCAGAACTCTTCGACCATGACCTGAGAATCTTCAAGACATTGAAGAGTTTTCTAATTAGATTAGTTATTAAACACTCATTTGTTTAGCACTTTTCTACACTAAAGCTTTATATTCTGTACACATTATCAACCTTTTCTACTAAAGCTTTATATTCTGTACACATTATTAACCTTTTCTATCACCCTTACAGTTAGAGGCCATACAAAAACATACGTGGTACAAGTGAGTATACACCCATTTTTTTTTTTTAACTTTTTTTAGTGTTCAATTTCTTGGACTAACAATCTGCTCTCGTTGTGAGTCTTTAGTTTGTTGTATTTTAATTTGGTGTACCTGTCTCTGGCTCCCAGAGGTGGGCGAAATGAGCCGTGTCCTGAGCTGCCTCCCACCAGGCGCGTGTGTGTGAAGCAAATCTTGTCCCTGGCTGAGCTTGACCCCGACGTGTTGGACAGCATGCACTCTTTGGGCTGTTTTCGGGACAGAGTCAAGCTGACACAAGAGTTGCAATGTGAAGGGTGAGAACATTTTTCCATATCAGTTTGGCTCTCTCAGAGAAGGTTTACACCGCTTTCATTCGTTCACATTATTATTCATTTTCATGTCCCCTTCATGTCACATTATTATTCATTTTCATGTCCCCTACTATACATTTTGTTAGAATCATTTTCTGTCATGTCCCCTCTTAGGGACAGAAATGTTTTCAAGCCTCCACCCCCCCTGACCCACACCCTCCCCAAATTGAAATACTATTGAGAACCTGTATCATGTAAATTTTTATCTGTACAAACCACTGTATGAGTTGCTGCCATCTAGTGACTGGAGGTTTGTTATCATTCAAGCATTACAGCAGTGTTATACTTATGTCCAGCGTGATCAATTCTATTGGAAACCCCTCACGCCCCCCCGGCACCTTACCACGCCCCCCCAGGGGGGCCCGCCCCACTATTTGAGAAGTATTGTGTTAGCCACAGACCGAAGCCGAATTCAGCCATAATCCTGATTTTTTTTTTTCAAACTAACTGTGCTCGTTACAACTTGGGACACTATTTAATATTTCTATTTGGTTAGGTCTCTTTATTTTGAAATATTAACTTTTTTATGTTGGATGATTATGTTGCGATACTAGAATTGCTATCCGTACGATATTGGTCAAAATGTTAGGATCAAACATGGGCAAAAGCACCTACAGCCTGTCCGATCTGATACCTAGCCCCAAATGCTCAGTTTTGCTTTGTGCGACATGCCGAAAACAGAGACGCTATCGCCTCAGCAAAGGCCGCCTGCAACATGCTGGAGGGTAAAAGAAGGCGTCGGATTGATATCAGTATCGCCAGATAATCCAGTCACAGTATTGGTATCAGACATAAAAAAAGTTGTATTGAGCCATCTTTAACTTTAAGTAGAGCATGTAAGCTGATTGGCCTGACTGGACAAATTTAAATTTAGAAACAAAACCAAGAATCTAATTTAAAAAAAAAAAGCCTTGGTCACCAATCTCATTGTAATAAGTTTTATTGTTACACCTCATTTTGACTTTTAAGGTAACGTTGATCTCGAGCATGAGAGCGGTCATGGGCCATACATTGCCCAGGTCTTGTTTATGGTACGAATCCCCAATATTCTGGCAATATTTAAAAATAATGTCATTGAAATTCCAATACTAACGGAAGTCAAAAAAAATGTTTTATTTTGAAAAGTGAATGATTCCTAATGATAATTCAGCTACCGGTCCGCAGTAATGGTCAGTACCGGCCAACTGGTGTTCGGTACAAAAAAGATTGGGGACTGCTGGTTTAAAGCACTGTTACTCATGTGCTCAGCTGAAATTAAATCCATCTTTTGCAGAAGCTTGTGTGACCATGCTTTGTGTCTGCACTTTTATTGTTTAAAAATAGATATTATATTTAAGACTTGTCTGTTATATAATATATGTTTATCCTCATTTAGAGAAAACCAGGAGAAGATGATCTATTACCTGCTGTTGGACAGGAAAGAGCGCTATCCGAGCTACGAGGATGAGGACCTCCCACCACGCAATGACGTAGGTAAGAGATAAGTCTCTTTATTTAACCCTTAAGTTAGTGAACACACTAACTGAGTCGTTCACTCACCTTTTACTGCAGTCATTGTCAACTGACAGCCTGCCGCCAAACCACTCAACCACTCAACCTGGCCAACGACTGGATTCCAAAATAAACATCAAATTATAATGAAGGATAGAAAATGTTATTTTTATTTCATTTTGTTTGAGAATCCGGCCCCCGAGTTGACAGTTAAGGATTTTAGGTGCGCCTTATAGTGCGGAAAATACGGTAGTCGGTCTTGCCCTGGCCAGCTAAAGGCCGAGTGTCTGGCGTGGCTACTACTTACCTACTTGCTAGGCTTGCTAACTGCTTGCTAGGAGGGTGAAGGGGTCTGGGCATAGGGAACCCAAGCTTAGGGTATTCCTCTTTCCTTCTGTCCTCCTGTCAGCTCTAGTCTCGTCAGCTGGCCCAGTAAAATATTGCAGATGATAATACAAATTAAAAACAGAATTGCTTATCAATGCCACAGGTGCAGTACTGTCAACTCTATCTGCCAAAAAGGACAGGTTAAAAAAGAGGAATGAATGAATGATGTGTTTTGCTGTCATTAAAAAGGTTTAAAGAGGCAATCACACCGCTAATATTTTTTTTGAACTTGATGTCCATAATTACTTACAACAGATCCTCCCAGAAAACGTGTAGACTCTCCGATGTTGACCCGACACGGCCGTTGCCGCCCTGAGAGGAAAAGCTTGGAAGTACTGAGTGTTACTGAACAGGGATCTCCTACTCCACCTCGCAGAGCCATTGACACAGCTGCACACAGCCAGAGGTACAATAAGAATTTCCCAGCACACGCTACTTCAGTGCTACTCAGTTTCAATTTCTTTACTGTGGCACTCACAGGTCTCGCTCAGTGAGTGGAGCTTCCACTGGCCTTTCCTCCAGCCCTCTCAGCAGCCCTCGGGTAAGAGTCAAATAGCTTTTTAATGACCAATAATGAAAAAAAACACAACCAAAAATGTTAAACCTTTACTGATTGACAACAGGGACACTGAACTTTGGAATTTTAATGATTCAAGATTGAGGATGGCATCATGTGACTTACTCTTAGCCTCTACAAGAATCACAAACAAAGCAGCTCAAATTCAGAACTTACTAAATGTAAGAAAGCGTGTGAATGTTTGACTGTCTTTCTCTAATATACACCTACAGCCCATTCACTTTCAAATATTTGAATGTGAATAGGACCTAAAGAGCCTTACAGCAGGTGTGTCAAACATACAGCCCTTGGGCCAAAACCGGCCCACTTGAAGGTTGATTCCGGCCAATTTGATACATTTTAAAAATAGAAAAAGCACAAACACTTCATTTTTTTATGATTCTTTGTAAAATTATATTTGATTTTTAATAATGATAAAAATGATATTTCATTAAATACGAAGATTTTCTAATACACTTGTACGATGATAAAAATGATATTTCATTAAATACAAAGATTTAATACTAATACACCTGTGCTTCTTTGCATGAAAAAAGGGAAATACATGGACTTATTGTTATTTATAGGGCAATTATGTTATGGTTGCACTGGTGCAGCCCACTTGACATCTATTTAGGCTGTATGTGGCCCCTGAACCAAAATTAGTTTGACCCCCCCCTAGCCTAAAGTGATGTTTTTGCAGTCAAAAGCTGCAAATATCAAATTTGCATTCTTTTTCACGAAGCATGATTTTCATTTCCATCTTTTCTCCATGTTCCATTCCTTCTCTTTCTTGTTTCCAATCTCTCCCATCCCTCACCCCCCCCCAACGATCCCTCCCCCAGTCCTATCAGAGCCCCGTCTTCACTTTCAGCCATTCAGATGTCATCTGTATCACTGCTAGCCCTCCCACAAAGGAGCCCAAACAGGGAAGCGCCACCACTCCATGCGCCACACAATCTCATGACAAGTCTAAAGCTCTCCCAAGCCCAAAGACCCAAACCCTGCCCACCAAAGGACCCATTCGACGACCACACCTGCAACCCATCAAATCTGTCCCTCTGCACAATCCGTCCTCCCCGTCTCCGTCCCCCTTTTCACACCTGTCACCCATTCCTAATTTCTTCTTTCCTTCATCCTCTGTCCTAACGCCAGCCGCTAAGAGCTTCTACCCAAACTCTGCCCACTGTGTGCCACAGGTCACTCCCCAGGGCTCTCCATTGCCCACACCTTTGGGCACCCCTGTCCACCACACTTACCACCCCTCCTCTACCCCACCTTCCTCATCCTCCTCGAGGGTGGAGGGTGGTGGTGGGGTATGCTCGCTGTCGCTCACCCCACCTTCTAGTCCAGGAGGTGGAAGTGGCATGGCGTCCAGCAGCTCGGCCCACTGGAAGACACGGCTAAATTCATTCAAGAACAACCTGCTGGGCTCACCTCGTTTCCGCCGTCGTAAAATGCAAGGTAAGTTGTTGTGTTGAAAACAACGTTTTGTATTTCTATTACATGACATTTAGAAGAGCTGAACTTAAAGTAGTTCAGTTAGACCTCTTAACTTTTGCTGACGTTCTACTTACATATTTATTTTAGTGTACTGCGGCTATTGTACATCATCTTTGATATGTACCCTTTTCTCTTTTATAGTCCCTACAGCAGAAGACATGTCCAATCTAACACCAGATTCCAGCCCAGAGTAAGTCACCAACTCTCATGTCAGAAGTTCCCAACGCTTTCCTGCATTTCCCTTTACTTTAGTAGATAGGATATTTAGGATATATATCAGGAGTTGGAAATCTTTTCAGCAGAGAGAGCCACATATTTTAGTGGTACTTGACATGCTTCCTCTCATTGGCCTCTTCCATGCGCTCTTCCCAGGGAACTGTGAGTTCCAGAATGATCAGCTGCTTGGTGGAATCTGAGACAATGATCATATTTGGTCGGAGCCATGTGGATGTAATTCTGGCTGGAATCTTCAGCTGTTTTCCCAGATCCACTTCCACTTGCCAGTCAGTGGCGGAGGTGAGGAGGCCTGGTCCTTGGTTGGATATCGGGCTTCTCTGCGGCTCTGTGGAAACTGACGGTCTTAGGCTTGTTGTGGCTCTTGATGGTGTTCATGGCCATGGCTATGCTCTCAGCAACCACCTTTAGCACTTGGTCATGGTGCCAGCGATAGTGGGCTTTGTTTTGACTTAGAGGTTGGTTGGGCTTTGTATTGTAATTTGTGGATATGGGTGGCTCAAGGCGCCTGTCCACCCTGGAGGCTTAAATGAACATTGGTGCTAGGCAGCCTCTGAAGCGCCTCGCTGAAATCATAACACCACCTGTTCACCCCCAGATCGTGGAGAAACAGAGTGAGTTGGTCGCTAACACGTTCGCTCACATCTCTGACTCACTCACAGCTTCGGTCCTGCTCTTCTCAGCTCACTTAACTCGTTTTCTTTGCTTCGTCGTCTTTAACAGACACGTGTGGTTCACAGACTGTTTTGTCTACTTCAGAAAAACATGAGGTTTAAAAATATTTAAATGCTGAATAATCTCTAAAGGAGAGAAGTTCTGGAATTAGCTGGATTGGGGGATAAAGAGCATCCCCAGGGGAGAGAGAGTGGTGATTGGAGCAGACCTTAATGTTCATGTAGGGGAAGGGAACAGAGGAGATGAGGAAATGGTGGGCAGATTTGGCATTAATTACACCTATTTCCAAAAGAAAGAGGGACACAGGGTGACTTACAAGAGTGGAGGCAGGGACACACGGATAGATTATTCCTAGATTCCTAGATGATTGAGAGATTATAACTGCAGTGATTAGGGAGACAGGTAGGAAAGTGCTCCGGTATGTCCTCTGGGCAGAGAAAGGAGGACAAAGAGACCTGGTGGTGGAATGATGAGGTCCAGGAGAGTGTGCAGAGAAAGAGATTAGCGAAGAAGAGATGGGACAGTG